GTGGGAGTTTTCACATTCTGTCTGTGTAGGTTTAATCCCACAGTCCAAAGATGTGTTGGTTAGGTGGATTGACCATGGGAAATTGCCCATAGTGTAGAGGGCTGTGCAGGCTAAGTGGATTAGCCATGGGAAATACAGGGCTGCAGGGATACAATGGAGGTGGGTGGGATGCTCTTCAGCAGGTTGGTGACTCAATGACTTCTTTTCACACTGTAGGGTTTCTCTGATTCTAACTTTCCAACAGGGGTCATTGATTCTGCTCAGCACCTTTCTGCTTTCCCTCATTCCCCAAACATTGATGAACTAACTCCAAATAGACTATTACCTCATTCTGCAAGCTTCAGGTCAGTTACCAAACACATGTTGCAGTTCACCTCTGATTTATGTAGTAACCACAACATGACCTGGGCAGTGACAAGTTAATGGTGCCAACTCTGGAGATTCCTGCCTGATTCCATCTGGTACCTATTGTGTTAGGGACCTCCGTTATATGTATGTTTCTGTAACATTACCAGGCCTGTTTTGAAAGATGCCAGATGGAATCACATTTGTAACTTCAAATCTATTTCATTAATAGAGGTTGTCACTTACTCCATCTGGAAAAGGGGGCTGCCTAACACATACCACACTCCTGTACACTGAGCAACTTCTCTCATTTCAGCTGTCCATCGAATGGCTGCATGTTTTATCGTTTCCTGTGATTGCTGTAACAAGAGTGTCAAGCAGATTGGTTTTATCAATTGCACATCACCTCACACTGCTGGTTACTGGCAGGAGTCTGGGCGTACATAATAAATGTCTTCCTTCCTCTTGTCAATGCCCACGCTATAGATCAGCTCTGCTGCCTGATCCAGGTGACAGCTGTGTACTCATTTTATTTTATTATATTTTTATTTTATTTATTTTACTCATTTTATTCTCTTTTAGCCAACTTAGGAGCCCAGTGCTAAAGGGAGGTATCTCATTCTGGTTAATATCATACAATTTTCTTTGTTCAGTTTCTTTAAGTACGAATGTGTAGCGTATGGAGGTGTACATTTCCAAGTTTGCTGATGATGCAAAACTGGGTGGGATTGTGAGGAAAGCGCAAGGAGTGTTCAGGATGATTTAGACAAGTCAATTATGTGAGTAAACACAAGGTTGGTGCAGTATAATGTGGCCAAATATGAAGTTAGAAGATCAATCAGCATGTTGAGAAGAAATGGAAATAAATACGATACTTTCTAGCAGATACAAGGTCAGTGGAGGACCATATATACTAGAAGTGTGAACTTCATGGAGGTTACAGTTCCTAAGCTACATCATTCCCTCAAAATTAAACACTGACACTGGAACTGAGCCAATTAATACACTGTTATATTCAATGGATTCAATTGTAGTTAGATTACAGCTAGAGTGTTGTATACAGTTCTGGAATCCACATTATAGGAGGGATGTGATTGCACTGTTGAGGGTACAGAGGTGATTTACCAGGATGTTGCCTGGGCTGGAAAGTTTCAGTTAGGAGGAGAGACTGGACAGACTGGGATTGGTTTCCTTAAAGCAGAGGAGATAGAGAGGGCACATGATTGAGATGTATAAAGTTATGAGGGGCATAGATAGGGTAGACAGGAAGATACTGTTCCCCTTGATGGAGGGATCAATGACCAGGTGACATAGATTTAAGGAATGGGGCCGAAGGTTTAGTGGAGATGTGAGGAAAAGCTTTTCACCCAGAGACTGGTGGGAATGTGGAACTCACTGCCTGTAGGGTTAGGAGAGGCAGAATCCCTCATAACATTTAAGAAGTTCCCTGCATTTGTGAAGCCAAGGCAAACAGGGCCAAATGCTGGAAAACGGGATTAGAATAGTTAGGTGGCTGTTTTTGAATGATGGGCCGAAGAGTCTTTTTCTGTGCTGTAGATCTCTATAACTCTGTTACTTTATTTCTCTGTCTCTTTCTCTCTCCTGTTTTTATACCTTCATTCATTTCTTCTCTCTGAGTTCTGAGGAAGGGTCACTGGACTCGAAACATTAACTCTGTTTTCTCTCTCTACAGATGGGGCCAGACCTGCTGAGTTTTGCCGGCAATTTCTGTTCTTGTTTCAGATCTCCAGCATTGGCTGTTCTTTATTTTATTTTCCTTTCAGTGGGAAGCTGGTTTTATCAGTCTCCTCACTGCCCATCAGATCCTTCCCAGAGATGAATGATCCAATTGGTTTTGCCAGTGATTGGTTATCAACACCCTCTCACCATGTCCTTCCTGGATATTTAGTCACTTGGGAACAAAATTCCCTGGGGAGGTGATGGCCTAGTGGTATTATCGCTGGACTGTTAATCCAGGGACCTAGATAACATTCTGGGGACCTGGGTTCGAATCCTACCACAGCAGATGGTGGAATTTGAATTCAATAAAAATTCTGCAATTAAGAATCTATGATGACTGTGAATCCATTGTCGATTGTTGGGAAAAACCCATCTGGTTGACTAACGTCCTTTAGGGAAGCAAGCTCCTATCTTTACCCCAAACTTAAGTTTACCTGGACCATCTTGAATACCTCTCTCCCCTTCCTGGACCTCTCTGTCTCCATATCGGGCAACCACCTAGAAACTGATATTCATTTCAAGCCCACCGACTCCCACAGCTACCTAGAATACTCCTCCTCCCACCCACCTTCCTGCAAAAATGCTATCCCCTATTCCCAATTCCTTCGCCTCCGCCGCATCTGCTCCCAGGATGAGGCATTCCACTCCCGTACATCTCAGTTGTCCTCATTTTTCAAGGACCGTAACTTCCCCCCCGCTCAGTGTTCGAGAACTCCCGCAACTCATTCCTCACACCCCATCCACTCAATAAGAACCAAAAAAGAATCCCCCTCGTCCTCACGTACCACCCCACCAACCTCCAGATCCAACCCATCATCCTCCGACACTTCCGCCATCTGCAATCCAACCCCACCACCAAAGACATCCTTCCCTCCCCACCCTTATCTGCTTTCCGGAGGGACCACTCTCTCCGTGACTCCCTTGTCCGCTCCACACTCCCCTCCAGCCCCACCACACCCGGCACTTT